GTCGATGCAAGGTGAACCTAAACCCTGCGGATGCTAAGTTTTCATCATAGCCCCAAGCAGTATTCGAAGAAAGACGGACCTCTGTGAAGCGCTCCACAGCCAGCTTGCAAGTCTTGGACGCCAAAGCCTTGACCAAACATAATATAAGAATTTTTTTTAGACAAGAAGGAAGGATCTATACATCTGTGTGTCGACAGCGTGTATATACACAGTGAAATATAATATAGCGAAACCATATATACAACAGCAAGGTCCCCGTTGAGAAACTGCTACTGTATTCTCTTACGTCTGTATCTTATAACGACTGTAACATGCATACCTGCCTGGTTATGAATCCATCTCGGACATACTGTTCTTATCATCAAGGCTTCTTGACAACTTCGATGGTGTTGGACAAACATCACGCTCGGGTGCAGCCGCTTGTTGTTAACTGTTGCTTATCTGGGTTTGCGCGTTGCATCGGGTGGCACCACGGACGACCGATGCTGGCTAAGTTGCGTCGCTGTTTCGGTCTAGACAAACTGTACCACAGACACTCAGAGATGCTAAAGGAATAGCTGATTTCAAAGTGATATCTGATAGCATCGAAATAGATGTGAAAGAGCTTCATACTGTTGTAAATGGAAACTGTCTCTAATTAAAGCAGCTGATGATTTGATACCGCTACATTTGCTGGTACCAGAAGTACTAGTACTAGTAGCAGTAGAAGTAGAAGTAGAAGTAGAAGTAGAAGTAGAAGTAGTAGTAGTAGTAGTAGTAGTAGCAGCAGTAGTAGTAATACTAAGACTCAAACATTACATAAAAATGAACAAAAAATAAATACATAAATAAAGATAAATGAATAAATAAATAAATAAATATATATATATATACACATATGTGTGTATATATATATACACACACACACGTAAGTGCCTTATACTGTCAGTGGCCCTCGTCAAAAGCTCCTTGCCAGTGGGCTGCACGTTGCCACCTTGCAGCTCTCTCGCAGCAGCTAATAGAGGCATTGATCTTCACAAGGTCCAGCTGCAGCTGCATCTCCAAAACGTTGCTAAGCAAGAAGATACCTGGCTTGACCCTTCTAGCACAGCAGAAGATATGCTGCTGGTTCTAAACAGGAGGCTACTCAATTGAGCCACCTCATTCTCTGCAAAGCTCCTGTAAAGCAGCCTATGCCGCGTTTTTGATACCATGCTCCCAGTAAATCCGGCAACGACCTTGCTGATGTTAAGCCATGATGCCTTGCGCCCAAGCTGCAGCATTCCCAGTCGCAGTGATGCCTGCACCATACGTAATCACATTCGGTTGCAAAAGCATGTGCTCCATATCCGGCAGGAGCATCTGCGCTTGCAGCCATTGGGAAGATACACCGCATGAGGTGATTGCCGCACTGTACACGATCACATCGGGATATAGAAGAATGACACGAGCCAGAGTCATATGCAGAACGGCCTCGTTCCAACGACCCGGGCACTTTGCACAAGTGCTTACCACCGCACTGCATGTGACAACGTTCGGCTGCAGGTGTCGGCTTGGAAGGGCAGAAAGTAGCCTTCCTGCAGCATTCCACTTCGCAGCCTTCTCGTAACAGCTGATAGCAGCACCGTATGTGACGACACTTGCCTGCAATCGGCACAGGCCGACCTCTGCAAAGAGTTGTAAGGCTTGTGACCACTGATCCAGTCGGTTCCATCTGGTAATGAGCTGCGTGTGAGTGAAGATATCAGACACTACACCTGGCATTTTCCTTGGACCGCCAGAAAACTCGAAAGTTGAAGCTGTCGCCCGAGTCCCTCAACGTGCGCTTTGTTCAACGAGGCAACTGGAGGCATCCGAATCGAAACCCCAACACCCTCACTCTCGCCAGAACGTCCGACTGCCTTCGAGCCTTCGATGATGAGTTACTGGATACAATACACACCATTCTAAGACACGTGTCGAGGGTACATTGCGGGCCTTACCGACAGCCGACAGCTTAGATGCCGTGCCTCTAAGATGCTGAGCTTGCTTCGGCTTGAGTGTTTCGTCTCGCTCAGCTATTGTTAGCACTTTCAGACTAGAAAGCGAAGGCTAAGAAACACCTATAGTGAGATCGGTGCGAGAAAGCGGATTGCTCCGGGCGGGGTATGCAGTTGATGCAGCACCCCTGGCTCGCGCCAGCCCAACTTCGTCAACGTGTCTATATCATCATCCCACGTCTGTTCAGTCTGCCACGATATGTCATATGCTCTGCGATGCTACGCAGAAGGTATCGTACTGTACTTTACATTGCTATGATGCAGGGCTGCACCCGGGGTTGTCTCGTTTCGGAGGTGCGCACCCTTTGCAGCAAGCTCCCTTTTGCACCTGCGGTCCTTGTTTCGAGTGCAGCAAAAATCTGCCAGGTATGGCAGAATTATGTGTATGATAGCACTGTCATAGTATATTATAGGAATGTTATGCTGCAGCATATACTATGCTATGCTGCTAACTCCCCTGAACGAAGCACATCTCCACGAACCGCTGCAACTACCACCGCGCATGCTCTTTCAAGACCAGTCACCAATTGATATGCACCGGCCGAACGAAAGACAAAGGCGACGACTGTCGCCCTGCGAAGGCCAGGAAGGGCTCTTGAATCCATCAGCTCGCCAGACCCGCATTGGCTGCCGCCGGTATCCAGCGAGGCCGGTGGCCCGTCCTATGACAAGAAGGCCTGTTTGTAGCAAGCCTTCTTGGCACAGAAAGAAGCCCTCGCCCTCGCCACCACCACACACCCGGCTCGGCAAGTGCACGTTGCCCGATCATCGCCAAGTGGATTCCGAGAGACCGGAATCCTGGAAGTGGACTTCGGGCCTCGTGAAGTCTCCGAGATCCAGCGTGGCAGGCATTTTATGATCAGTGGCGTCGCCGGAGCATTGCTATCGCTTGGCTAGGATGAGCAGTGTCATCGAACTTGTAATGGAACAAGTTTTTTGGGAAATGTACAGTGATAGTATGAACATGGTCGTAATTTCAGATAGTAAACAAGGGCAACGCCTGCAATGATATAAACAGTCACAGCAAACGTCCTGTGCATTGGAATGATTTTGAGCAGTAAAACATCCTGTCGAAAGGGCCTCTTATATATAGTAAGTAGTTGGTTAGGTAGTTAGTTAGTTAGTTAGTCAGTCAGTTAGTTAGTTAGTTAGTTAGTCAGTTAGGGAGCATTGGGCCCGGCGAACATGGACTCCGAAGCCAACGGGACATAATTTGTGTGGAGGCATAATGCGTGGGCGCAGGTTTTGGAAGGGGGGGGGGCATATGTACGTACACTCAGGAACACTCAGGAATCACAAAACTGTGTAGTCCGATCCCTACGGTATTATAGTATTAAGCGCAAGCTGCAGCACAATAGTCAGAAAGGGCTCACGGACAGGAGAATGAGACGGGGTTCTTGCTACAAGAGTTACTACAAAGGATGTATAAGGACTTATACATACAAGGTTTCATATAAGGCTTGTTATGAAGGCTACTATACGGCAAGAAATTGGTCTGGCACCTACTAGGTGCTTCCATTCTTGGACACAGGTATCAGGCGATGATTGACGTTTTTTTGGCGTTCCATGTCAGGGTTCCATTACCCTAACCTCCCAGGTACCTACTATATAGGGCCCTAGGGGCTCTAGTACCCTATATAGTAGGTACCTGGGGGGTTAGGGTTACTTCAAATCTGTGAATTTTTTCCATTCCCAACAGTAACGTCGGATCCAAGCTCTCGGCCAGGATCTCATCAAAGGCCCCCAACAAGTGGAGAGTCGGCTCTGGCTGTCCTGCGTGCTCGCAGGCAGAGATGGCATGACCGTAAGTGACCGCGTCGAGTTCGATGCTGCTGTTCGCTGCCGCGGCCATGAGGACGAACGCCTGCCGCCACTCAGCTGCATGCTCGCAGGCACAAATGGCCGAGCTGTATGCGATCAGATTCGGTTGCCCGCCAGTGGTGGAAAAATCCGCGAGCAGCATAACTGCATGCTGCCAGCGGCTGGCCTTTTCACAGGCACTTACCAATGCACTGTAGGTAATGATGTCTGGCACGTGTCCGGCAGATTGCAGCTGGCTCAACAGTAGCACAGCTTTCCTCCATTCAGCTGCCTTCTCACACGCACTGATTGCAGCATTCATGGTGACCAAGTTCGGTTGCAAGCCCTCGTTGGCGAGGGTTGACAGCAACACCAGCACTTGTCGCCACATGCCGGCTTTCTCGCAGGCGCTGATCGCAGCGCTGAAGGTGACAACAGAAGGCCTCAAAGGTCCTTGCTGAACCTCGGTCTCGCAACAAATGCATCGATTTGGTCTTTGCCATTAGTAATGATTAATGCTCATCGTCATCCTCCCCTCCCTCCTCCTCATCATCTTCTTCTGCATGCTCATGCCCATGCTCATCCTCATCCTCCTCCACCTCCTCCTCATCGTCGTCACCATCATCACGAACAGCACCATCATCATGATCATCATCAGTCGGCATCATCTGCAGCTTCACCAGCTCCATCACAACCTAGGCAACCAGGAGAATCGCCACCACATCATCATCATCATCATCCTCATCATCACCATCATCATCACAAGCAACAGAATCAACATCATCGTCAGTGTCGAGTCTATCTCCTACACAATTCCATCACCATCGTCAACAGCGTCACCGTCAGCCACCACCGCCGTCATCGTCATGGAGTGCAATGACGGTCGTCGTCGCGGCACTTATCGTTGTCGTGGCCGACGTTGCCGGCATCATTGATTGTGCTCGTGGTGGTAGTGGTGGTCGGGCGTGCAAGGTGAAAATGCGGTGGTGAAATTTGTATTGGTGACTGGTCGTAGGGGGGGTACAACAAACAACGGTCAGGGTGGTGGTCAAAGTAATTGTCACTTGCACGGAGTGTGTCGTCTTGGCTGTGTTGCTGGCACCTGTTGCTGTGCCTCCTCCTGCTCTGCACCCTCCTGAGGTTACCACGTTCTGGCTACCCTTTTTGAACCCAGACTCTGCTGATCAGCTGGGAACCTAAACCCCAAACCCAAAACCCGGAGCTGTCTAGGCGATGGAAAGGACCTGGTGACAAATGAGCTGCCAGGCGCTGATTCCCAAACCCCTTAAAAGGAATTACAAGCGCAGTAGAACCCGCCTAAAGTTACAAAGGATCCGGAACCCCTAACCCCTAAGCTCTGAACCCTAGATAGCCCGCGGCACCTCAAAGAGCAACTGGAGGGCCAGCTTCCACTCAGCAGCTTTCTCACAGGCGCTGATTGCGGCGTTGTAAGTGATCTCATCGGCTTCGTAGGAGCTTTCCTGGGGGTCGCGCTGAGTAAACATAAACTCCGCAAGAAGCACAATCGGCTACTGAAGCAGTATAATAAGACTCTGTAAATTGTAAAAGAAGACTCCCTATTTCTTGATATCGTGGATATTACGGGTCATCATCTTCATGAGCAGAATAAGAACCAAGAGCACGCGGCACATGAGGAGGTGAAGACACCCGTACCCCGAAACCCCGAACTGATCCGAAAGGCTCACAAACCCTAAAGCCTAAACCCCAATCCCTAAATCCAAAACCGCTCGCAAGATTCGCCCAGGCCAGCTAGGAGTAGCAGTGCTTCTGGCCACTTTCCGGCCTCGCTGGTGTCTGCTTTTGGTGCTTTATACGGTTCAGAAATGTTCAAGCTTAGGACTTGGCGTTGGGACGTCCGGCGCTGAGGCACTGAGAGCTTTAGGCTCAAGCTTTGGAGAGTTTAGGGTTTAGGAGTTTAGGGGTTAGGGTTTAGGGTTGACGTAGCATCTCCCGGCTTTGGGTCGGGAGAGTTTCGTGACCGTTTGGGGTGCGAAGTCATTTGTAGCCAGATCGTTCCAGGGACTACAATTCAAGTGCCACCGGCTATGCCCTGGCCTTGCAATGAGCATCTCAGACAAGTTAACGTTTCTGCCACACTTTACAGGGGGTGTTAAACCCTAAATCCTAAACCGCTATTGCAAGTCGGTTCCTTCTCACAGGCGCTGATTGCTGTGTTCCAGGTGATCAGATCCTCAGTGCTTGAAGGGGTGTAAGGTTTAGGGTTTTCGGTTTAAGGCTCAGGGAAGGGTATAGAGTTTAGGGCTTGAGGTTTGCGGTTTATGGCTCAGGATGGTACAAAAAATTGTTATCAGATGTGTAATTCTTTAACCCCGGTCTGGGATACATGAACTGGGACAGCCGGGGCCCGACACAGCTCTAACTCCCAATAAATAAAGGCCGTCTAGCCTTGAAGAACCCCCTGATTGCATCTTTAAACTCTTTCAATTTTGGGACCTCGAACTCCGGGTAAGAACTGCTGTAATCTTCGCAGCCTCAACTCCTCCCATCGGCAAGCCCGCCACCCCGAGCCCAATAAGCACCACATCCCAAACCCTTCCTCCCTGCAGAACTGCAGAACTCTGCGTTCTCATACACCGTGTCCTATACACCTTAAAAACCCTGAAACCCCTACTCCCTATGTATCTCAGTCCAAACAAGCTGTCATCTTACCAAGTCTTACCATCAACAAAAAACAACAACCGACTGTCCAAGGCTCCATCTGGAGGCTTCTGGAAAAAAGGCTCTGAAGGAGGGCCAGGCCAGCGACCCAAGCACCGGCAGATTCGCAGGCAGATATTGCCTCGTTGGATCCACCAAGAGAGTTTAGGGTTCAGGGCCTTAGGGTTGAGGGCCGTTTAGGGTTTAGATAACCTGCATACATTCTAGTACAGGCCACATGGAGCCCTGTAACAATTCTTGAGTGGACTTGTCTGCATGGTACTACCGAAAATGAGTTTCTTATCATTCAACTACCACTCTTACCACCAACACCATGCGAAGCAACAGTTGGAATCACCAGCATCCCCTAAACTCCCAAGCCCTATCCTCCCTAAGCCTAAGCCTTACCCTCCTTCATCAGCATCATCGGCTGTAGATTCGTTACAAAGCTGGGCTGCCCTAGGCTCCAGAACCACTTGGAGGTTCATGGGTAGTTTCACGCGGTGTTGTAAGCAGGGCAACTACAATTATAACCCTAACACACATCAGGGGACTTCTAACCCTACTTATAACTACCCATGAACCTCCAAGCAAGTCAACAAAGCGTGCAGAAACAGCTGTATATAACAGTTGCAGAAATCTTGCGCTTATCAGCGTGGCGTTCGTGGGTGCTCGTGACATGATAATTACGGGAATCACTGAAATGGAAGGTTCCGCCCACGAAAATAGGAGCCAAGCAGCTGCATTAAAGGAAATGATGTCCACTTGCATGCTCACGGCATCCACTTCTTCGAGCAGATGCAGACTCTGTCTCCACTCGGAAGATGCTCCGCATGCGCTGATCGCAGAATTGTAGGTGATCGTGTTGGCCTGCACCTCCAAAGCTTGCATCTCCGCAAACAAGCCTAAGGCTTGCTGCCACTCAGCAGCCTTCTCACAGGCACTGACTGCGGAACTGCAGAGAATCACGTTCGGTTGCAAGGCTCTCCGCCCCAAATCCTCCAAGAGCAACAGAGCTCCTGGCCATTTTGCAGCCCTCTCCGTGGCGCTGATGGCCGCACCGAAGGTAACAACTGTGGGAAGAAGGCCCATAGCATCGACGCTCCGTAGAAGCTCCAAAGCCTGCTTGGGTTTAGGGCTTTTGGCCTGAGGTTTAGGGTTTTTTGGCCTTGGGTTTAGGGTTTTTGGCCTTGGTTTAGGGTTTTTGGCCTTGGGTTTTAGGGTTTAGGGTTAGGGGTAAAGGTTTTAGGGCTTACGATTTCGGGCAGTTCCCTGAACAGGGGTCTCTGGCAGAATACTGTTGTGGTAAAGAGCCTCTCAGACGATTGAAAGACCGATGTAGAAGTGTTGCTTTGATGAGCTTTATGATGCGACCCAGTATTGCAAGTGTTATTGCTGATGTTTTCTATCATTTTCCATCCATCTAGCTGGCCTTGCCAGACCGACACTGGGGCTGGACGGATTAGATTAGAATCTTTGGTGAGAAGCTGCAATCTTGAGAAGACGAGGGGTGCTAAGCCTCAGTGCTTGCCTTAACTGCGAAGCAACAATAACAACTAGCGAACGAGCCACCATAAAGGCGGCTCAAGTGAGCAACAAAGCACTTCAAGACTAAAAGCTCTTGTCATCACCATCACCATCAAAGTTGCCATCGTCATCGTCAACGCCATCGCCATCATCACCATCACCGTCACCATCGTCATCGTCATCATCACCATTACCGTCACCAACGCCATCACCATCACCCTCACCATCACCATGATGATCATCATCAACATCACCATCAACGACAACAGCATCAGCATCAGCATCAGCATCAGCATCAGCATCATCATCATCATCACCAACATCATCGTAATTACAATCACTCTCAATGTCATCATCGTCATCAACATCATCACCATTGTCATCATCATCCACATCTTCAGAACGCCCTCAGTACCACTGTCGAGCCGGCAAGGTTGACATCCATCATGGGCCATGCTGAGTTCTGAGCTACAGACCCGTTGCCACTCACTCGCACGGCCACAGGCGGTGAGGGCTGAGTTGTAGACGATGACATCCACTTGGATGCCGCTGTGTCCCGCCTCAGAAGTGACAAACGTCGCGTCGCAAAAAAACTGCAGAAATAAGCCGAAGTGACCCATGATAACTAAAGGTTGAAATTATACGCTTCAAAATGAGAACGAACTTGGCGGCTATGAAGACTCCTCTTTATACTACCGGTCTAAATGATTCGCAATCTTTTTCGCCTTACCCAAAACATCCCCACACACTCATATAAAATTCTTCGGACCCTAGATTATTCTTACTTCCCCGGTCCTGTCGGAGCCTGGCCCCCATCTGAGATGCAGAGTGCCCTAAAACTTGAACCCTGATTACCTAAACCCCAAATCTCCTAACCCCTAGATACCAAGCCCCAAACCCGAAACCCTACAAGCCTAGAGATGCTGCAAAGCCGAACAACCCAGGGTCGACAACGCTTCCCAATACAAGTATGGTTATGACCCTTGTTACTACCGTTATTGCTCTACTATTGCTATTCGTATTCCTATTCGTAATCGCATTCCTTATGTCTTATTATGAATATTATTCCTATTTTTGTAGTTCTTATTGTTGATATATCTGTTAGCAGTCGTACTAGCTACTAGCGAGTACTGTTATTATTATTACTACGATTATTGTGACTATTTTGTGTCATTGCTACATGCATTACGAGGGTCATTAAGATTATTATAGCAATAATCTTAATGAACAATCCGAGACGAATTCTCCCCCAACAGTCAAAGAGCACGCTGGCGATAGTAATTCTAAGAGGATGGGTTGTAACCGCGCGAGAA